CCTGGAACTCACTTAGTAGCCCAGGCTGGCCTTGAACTCACAGAGATCCGCCTGGCTCTGCCTCCCAAGTGCTGGGATTAAAGGCGTGCACCGCCGCCGCCGCCACCACCCTGCTTTAGCCCTCTTCTTTTTATTAAGAATTTTTTTTCATTCATTTTACACACCAAAGATCCCCCTCTTCCCTCCTCCTGTCCCCCACGATCCCCCTCCCAACCCATCCCCACTCCCCCCCTACAAGAAGACAGGGCCTCCCATGGGGAGGTTCATCCAGTAGAGGCAAGTCCAAGCCCTTCCCCCTGCCTCAAGGCAGCACATGGTGTCCCATCATAGGTAGTGGGCTTCAAAAGGCCTGCTCATGCACCAGGGATGGATTCTGATTCTACCACCAGGGGGCCCTCAAGCAGATCAAGCTACACAACTATCTCACAATGCAGAGGGCCTAGTCCAGTTCCATGCAGGCTCCACAGCCGTTGATGGAGAGTTGGGGATGGGGGGTGAGAATATAAGAGAATGGGATGGCAGAGCTGGAACAGGAATGGAGTGGGAAAAGCAATGAAAGAGATACCATTATAGAGGGAGACATCATGGGGATAGAGAGAAACCCGGTGCTAGGGAAGTTGCCAGGAATCCCCAAGGATGACCCCAGCTTGGACTACTAGAAATAGTAGAGAGGGGGCCTGAACTGAACTGACTTGCCCCAGTGATCAGATCGGTGATACCCTAACTGTCATCACAGAGCTTTTCTACAGTGACTGAAGGAAGCAGATGCAGAGATCCACAGAAAACACCATGGAAAAGCTCCAGGAGTCCAGTCAAAGAGAGAGAAGAAGGATTCTATGAGCAAGTGTACCTAGCCCTCTTATTCTGGGGATCCCCTTTCTCTGCCTTCCCAGGGATGGAATGAGAATGTGAGACTGCATGCGACATGTCATGTGTTACATAGTGTCTCCAGGAGTTCTGTGAGAGGCTTTAGATATTCATCATAGTCCTGAGACATGGGTGTCATCAGCCTCACTTGATAGATGAAGAGATTGAGGTTCAGTAGCTTGAGAAGTGTGCATGGAAACTGAACAGTGTGCTCAGAACCCACACCCAGCCTTTCTTTTCTTATTTAAAATGTCTTATTTTTTTATTTTGTGTATATGGATTTTTGCCTACCTGCATGTCTGTGCATCATGTGTAATCCTGGCATGTGGAGGCAGAAGAGGGAGTCAGGTTGCCTGGAACTGGAAGCAGAGGCAGCTGTTAGCTGTTTGGTCCCTGGAACAGCAGCAGTCAGTGCTCCTAAACTCTGAGCCATCAATCCATCATATATCTTCTCTGTCTGCCTCTATTGCTGTCAATTATGAAGTGACACATATATGAATGTGATTTTCATACAGCCCCCACCATGTGGATGATTCCAGTTCAGAATCAAAGCTGGGTTTCTGAATTTATCCTGCTTGGCTTCTCCAGTGACCCCACGACCAACAGCATCCTCTTCATTGTGTTCCTTCTCATCTACCTGTGCTCAGTCCTGGGCAATGGGCTCATCATCATGCTGATCTGCCTGGACACACAGCTGCACACTCCCATGTACTTCTTCCTCTGTATACTTGCCCTGTTGGATATGTGCTATGTCACCACCACCATGCCCCAGATGTTGGTGCATCTTCTTGCTCACTCTCAGACCATTTCCTTTGCTGGCTGCTGGCTGCAGATGTATGTGTTTGGTTCTCTGGCTATTACTGAGTGCACCTTCTTTGTTGTCATGGCTTATGACAGATATGTGGCCATTTGCTACCCACTGCGTTATTCTGTCATCCTCAATTGGGGACTGTGCGTATGGTTGGCAGCTGGGACGTGGATCTGTGGTTTCTTCTTCTCTCTGTTTCATACTTTCTTTACTATGAATCTGCCATATTGTGGGCCTAACAGGGTTAACCACTACTTTTGTGAAGGTCCTTCAGTGCGTAGCCTGGCTTGCATGGATACCCACCTCATTGAGATGGTGGACCTGGTTTTGAGTGTTTTTCTGGTTGTTACTCCCATTTCCCTCATTGTGGCCTCCTACATTGGTATTGTCAAGGCTATTCTCAAGATCAAGTCCA